TTTTCCCCTATATTTTCTTTTAGGCTGCTTATTTGTGTCAAATGGATTTAGATCAGCCAGGCCAGAGTAGGGTATCCCATTCTTATTGATATGATTTTAAAGAGCAAGTTTTCTGACAGTCTATGATTTTAAAAAAACAAGTTTTTCTCAGTAAAAGTGCAGCTGTGAAAGAGGTTGTTCTGACTCAACAACGCAGCTGCAGCCTGACCTTGAGAGAAAAGTTGTTTCCTGTTAACTTTGCAACTGTTTTTATCTGTGACTGTGTCTTTTGTGTGTCTGTTTTAATTTGCACAATGAATGGACAATCTAATGTTTTACTTTGTCAGATGGAGCAGATATTTTGCTTCTTCACTACAAACCCACCACACAATGCAGGGTTCCTAACCTGCATCGACTTGATCATAAACTCAGGAAAAGACAGATATTGGTCAGTATTCCCTTCCCAAAACGAAGATGATAAAGTAGTATAGAAATCCTAAGGTCCAGACCTTCTATGTTAAGCCAGGTTCTGCTCCTTCTCCACACACCTTTGTTTTTTCTCCAGCTTCCAAGGAATCTCACAAACGGAGTGGGAAACAGTGAACCTATTACTTCTTTCCTGCTTTAAATCCAATTCCACGTAGTCTCGGAGACTGTTAGGCAGGATCTCCGGCTTGGTGGAAAGTGGGGCGTGCAGCCTAAAGTGATTAGTTTGGAGGCCTTCTCTGTGCCTTCGCTGTGGGAATGCCAGCTGCGTGTCGGCTGGATGCGGGCCGAGCCGCCAGGCCACACGGAGAGCCTTCACAACCTCAGCGGGCGCGGGGGCTTGGGTCCTGGCCCCGCCCCCTGAGGACCCGGCGCCCGCTCAGTCCCACCCCGCCCTGGGATCCTCTCCTGACCCTGCTGCGCGTGCCTCCCGGAACCTGGCTGGCAGGGGCTACTCGCTGCCCCGCCAGGCCGGGTGAGGGCGGAGCCGGGCCTCCAGCCGCGAGGACTGGAGCCGCGGGAGGTGGAGCCCCGGTCCGGAAGCCGGGGATCCGCGGCCATGACTGTGCCGGCCCGTGGCTTCTCGCTGCTCCGCGGCCGCCTGGGCCGAGTGCCGGCGCTGGGCCGGAGCACAGCATCCCCCGTGAGAGCCCCGGGAGGGCCCAGGAGCGCGTTCCGGGGCTTTCGGAGCAGCGGTGTGAGGTACGAGGGCTGCGGGCTCGGGGTGCTGAGCCGCTGGCGGTGGGAGGGCAGCGGGGGCGCGGGCGGCCGAAGGCTCGTGGGCGGCCGCGCGGCGGGCTGGGTGGAGGAGCGCCTTGGCTGTGAGGTGGCCTTGCCGGCCTCGCGGGTGAGTCGCAGTTGCCTCCGCTCGGGGAGCGAAAACGTGTACTGCTCTGGGCTCTGGCACCAGAACGTTCCATCTTTGCAGCAGGTGCAATTGAGTGTTTTAGGAAGACATTTGAGGCACTAAGAAAAGATACCATAAAAACACGTGGTCTGCTTGGTCAAACATTTGTTTTTACTTTGCTTATTGTAGTGTTTCGTAAGTAAAGGAGTAGGCGTTGTCCAGATGGCTTACTAATGTTTGCGTTTCTGAATTCCTTTGTTAATGGTTTTGTCAAGGTCTTTTCCAACTCTAAATTATGTATGGTTTCACAAAACCAGAGATCAATCCCAATTTCTCAGTCTTTTCATGTATGGCTCTCCCTAAACCTCTGTAAAGTGGTGAGACTTACATTCATTATATCTCTTTGGACTTGGTTGCTGGTAAGAACCATGAAAATACAAAAGGATACACACCCTTCTGTCTTCTACTTTACTTGTCTTACTTGCAAAATCCATCTTAACAAGATGAAAATATATTTTCTTGACCCAGAGCCTGTGAGTCCAGAAGAGCCTCTGTTTTTAAACTTTCAAGGCTTCCAGAAATGCGCTTTCATTGCCGTTTTACGTCCAAAGATTTTGTCTCACTCGAGTTTTTGTATCCCCCGGTGCCCAGGACAATCCCTAGAACAAAACAATGATTGGTAACATGGAAACATAGATACTGTTTATTTAATTTAAATCAATTAACTCCCTATTGTGTACATTTAGATCTTAGTCTTGAGTGACTGAATTTAAAAATTACTTTCTATAGGATGTGCTTGGATATAGTTTCTAGTGACTAGGTCTTCCACGAGGATATGTGAGAACATAACAGTGAATCAGAGTTGTTTTGTAAGCGGTAGTGCTGTGCGTAAGAATGTGCCACTTGCTTTGGAACTACCAGCTAGCTCTACTCCCTAGGAAAAGCAGATTCTGTAGAATTCTATTTGTATGAAAGAATTGAGGGAATTATTTGCTGTCACTCTAAATACTTGTTTGTATCATTATTCTCTGAATGTCAGTTGTGTTAGGGCTGCTTTTCAGGTTGAGGATAACCTGTTTCAAATAGTGCAACTTGATTAATTTCCCTTTGTCCGCTTGCTGTAAACAACTCTATCTTTCCATTTTCTCCATGACCTGCATACATTGAGTGAAAGTCATTACAAATAACAGTTACAACCCCAAAATTTGGTTGTAGCCACTTGCTTCGTACACAAACGCACACACGTGCACGTGCACACACACACACATACCCCAACTCATGGAGAATTCAGAACTTTTAAGTTATACTTAACAACCTTTTCATAATTTAAAACAGTTGAGTGCAAAGATTTTGGAAAGCTATTATCCATATGCACAGTAAGAGTTATTAATTTCAGCCCAGCTGGTTTCAGTCCCACTAGATGCAGATTATAATTATAAAAATAAATAATCTATTTTAATAGTTTTTATTTTTTACAGATGGCACTAGGCAAGTTAAGATAAGGCAGGGGTTTTGATGCCCTCTTTACACTGAATACCATCTCTGAAGGTGAAGTTGGCCCCAAGGTTGAGAAACACCTGTGGACTGGTGGGTCTCGGGTGGGGAGGAATTCGGACAGTGTGTTGATGCTTATTGGTGTCTCTTTTCTCTTCTAGGACCAGCAGAGAGAAGAGATTCCATCTTCCAGAGGTTGCCACTGTCTGCCTCCCCACTTGACCCCATCCACAGTCATCTTTTTTATATATATAGTGACATATTAGCTGTCTACTTCTTCATAGTTAATGTGGTTGAAGTCTGACATCATTTCTTTTCCATGAAATTTACACCTTAGTGTTATTCTCACTGAAAATTGCCTTTGAGTTTGAGAAACCCTTATCCCAGTGATACTGTTTTAAATTAACAGATTTATTGCCATTTATGAACTACGTAGAGCCTTAATTGAAAAAGTATCTCTGATTATTTTTTCATATTTTGACTACATATCTATAATAATGGAACATTATAAGTACTTTTTAGTGGAGGATTTTTAAAGTAGAATTTCAATAAATAAGGTTTGCTGGAGTTTGCAGGTTACAACATCTTGAAGTATTATTTAACATTTTTCTCTCAATGATTTTTCCTTTAAAATTTGCGATGAATTTGTTTTCCTGTTTATGCATGAGAACTTAGGTCTTCTTAATTGGGAGAAATTAAAGTAATAAATAAGCCCTTCTAATTCTTGCAGCTGTTTCTTGAAATGAATTACCTATCCAGGCAAAAGATTAAATTTTTTTTAAAAAGTCTTTGTAATTAAAGTTTTCCCATTTTGTTGTGGTATGTAAGGATTTTACAAATCGAAATATCCTTGGTTAAAAGACATCACATGAGTTTGTGCCCAGTGCTTTTCAGTCTGAGGAGCCTGGTAGCATCCCATCCCATTTGGGTGGGAAGGTTATAGACCTTGCACATTAATGCCATGCTCAAAGCAGATTTGCAGATATTCTGCAACAGAGGGACTTTCGCAAACCCTGCTTTGTTTTATTCTACCTGAACTACTTATTTTAATTAACTAAATGGCTATCCCAAACATTCCATTTTTATCCTGTTGCTCAGTGAATCCTCAGATTGTTAATTTGGTAGACTCTCTTTTTTCTCCTCATACTATTATTCTTTTAGCTTTAAAAATAATGTATACTGCCTACAGGTCCTTATGGAAGTTTCACCTTTCATTGTGTCTCCCTGGAAGCAACTTTATAATTTTTGCAGCTGGACCATGTTTTTGGAACTAGTAAAAGATACTTATTTGTGTTAAGTATTCATGTCTTTTACCATAGGTAGTTGAGTTTAATAATAAAAAAGAGATACAATTTTATCAGTGACAATGTTCATTTTTCTTCAGACTCTTCCCTCTAGTACTTACTCTGTATTTCTATTTCTTCTGAAGACTAGGAAAGGCAGTTTCTCAAAATCATATTCTATTTAGTTGGCAAATGTGATAATGTGGTGGTGTTCCTATCTTCCTTCCTATTCTACTGAAAATGAGAAAATAATTGCTATCTGGCTACAATTTTGATTTCTAAGAAGTTCTCGTGTTATTTTAAATTCAGAAACTAAATATTTCAACATTTGATCTGTCATATCTTTAAGTTTTATTTTCTGTGTTCCAGCTGTTCAGAGATAATATGTTTTAGTATCTCTAAAATCAATCAAGATTTTTGACAAAAATAGATCAGTAGATGAAAAAGATAGACTAATATTAATTTTAGATCTTGTTAGTTAAAATTACCCAAATCTTTGTTTTTCAAATGCCTTATTCTTTCATGTTAATATTCTGATGGGAGGATGATAACAGCAGAAAGGAGCAATACCAGATGATCTTTTCATGGGCACATGCTCTTTCAATGAATCCCATCGAGCTCAATGAAATTACAGTTTGGCTTACAGATAATTAAGTTGTGGAAGGAGGTTTAAGAGAGGAGCTTATGTGAAATTTGAACTGTAAATAAGTATACTAAATTGAAGAAATGATTAGTAATAAATGAGATTTGCTTTTAAGAAATTCAGTTGGGACCTGAGAAAACATTTTGTGTGCAAGGTAGAAAACTTTATGGTCACAATAGAACACAATCTGAACCTAAATTAACAGTAGTGTTGAAGAATTCAGGGAGGGATATTATCCAGGAAGGCTTAGCCAGCTGCTCCACTTAACATTACATCATAAGTAGTTTCTGTGTTGCTATTGTTTTTATTAGATTTCAATGACTGCATCATACTACATTAAATCAATTGGCCCTAACTTACCTAACCATCTTGCTGCTTTTTAATGTCTAGTTCTTAGAAAACATGTAATAATTTACTCTCAGATCGAGGTCGTGTTCTTGTCAACCTCATACCAACCAGGTTTGCTCACTTAGTCATATGAACCGTATATAAGGTTTCTATAATTAGGCTCATTAGAGTGTCCCTAGATCTAAAGACTGTCTAAAGATTCATAATTCTAAAATGAGTGTATGTGTATACAACACGTTGTCTCCCTAGCTTTTTTCCCCCCCCATTTGTGATTAACTGCAATGAATACCATCATGCTTTTAAGGAATTCAGTTGTATTGTTGAAAAATACATTTTTATTAATATCTAAGGAGCTCTTAGTGTTAAGCACTTTGCTGAGATTTTTCACTTACGTTATATCCTTTGATCCTTACAACAACTAAATGAAGTAAACACTATTACTATTCCCAGTTAATAGATTGAGAAATTGAGGCTTAGAGAAATTAAACTTGTCCAAGTTGGCATAGTAAATAAATGGTGAAGACAAGGCGTGAACCCACATGATCTCTCCAGTGTTCTTCTCTACAAACAGCTTATAATTATTTACTTATCTCACTTTTGCTTTTTCTTCTTTTTGAAAACATTTATTAACATTAAATCTCATAGAACTTTTGTGAATCTAGAAAGCTAATTTTACATGTAAATTTTAGAAATTATTTTGTTAGATTCTCTCAGAGATGTTCTTAACTCGGACCTTATGTATAGAATTCAGGGGATCCGTAAACATGGATGGGAGGTTACTAACATCTAATAAATTTAGCATTTTTTTTCAGTTGTCAATGTTGGCAACAAACATAGTATCAGCAGTACATGTGACTTGCTAATATAAATCACAAATATTTCAGTATCACAAAGTTGAGGCAGATACCACAAAACATCAACTGTACATCACTATTTTGATATTGTAGTTAGACCTACCACTAGATCCTGTTATTTCATACTTTTTTTTAAAAAAAAAGCATTTGATAGTATTTCAGTAAAACTGGTTTTCCTTGTAATCTGTAATTTATATTGAATGTTTAAAAGGATTGTTCTGAGGAGTCCACGG